AAGAGGAGCATCAGGTTATGCTTTATTAACATTAAATTAATTATTAATTTATTTATTTATAATTTAAGTGTAAAAAGAGTTTTGCAAAAAAGTAATTAAATTATATATTATTATTATAAATGAAAAACTATTAGTGAATTGAGAAGCGATTTATAAAATAATTTTCATTTTTATTTGTTTCCCTCATCACCCGATTCGATGTTATTATTATTATTTGTTTTTTTTTCTTAAATTCATTTTTGTTTTGTTTATTATTTCATATTTCATTTGTTTTGTGCAAAAAGTTATTGAATTACCAAAAATGACAGAATTTTTTGTTTTTATTTATTAATGGAATTTGCGGTCATTTTGCGGCCGAAGTCTCCATTGATTATAATTATATATATAATTATTTATTAATAAAGCATTAGTTAAATTCAATAAGAAATTAGTGTAAATAAATTAATCTCATTATAAGAAATTGTCGACAAACTCCTCACCCAATAATTAACAAGTTTATTATTAAACGGAAAAAGCGAATGAAATTTTGTTCATAGTTTTACATCTGATATAAGATTATTATATAAAGTTTTAGTAAACAATTTTTGTAATACATTTTAGTTGTCTTTTTAATACATGGATACAAAATAAAAGGCTCTAAAAACGCAGACATATCTCTTAACCATGAAATAAAAGTCTGAATAATTTAATATCCGATTAGTGAATATATATATAATGAAATCGTTGAACAAATAATGAATACAATTATGAAATGAAATTACAAATTAAGTCTACAAATGAAAATACAAATTACTATATAATTGAATGGTTGTAATAATAATTGTTTGTTTGATTCAATTGTGAATACATTTTAATTATTATTATAAAGCATTTGGAAAATAGATTTTTTGATACGAAATGATGGCTGAAAATTGAAGTAAACTTTTTTCGTTTGTTTTTTTATTGTAATAATGAAACACTGAATTGAATTTGTATTACAACAACGTTATGTGAAATACGAGTTTTTTTGCTAATGATGTATAATTTTAGTGTTTTTTCTAATTAATAATAATAACTTAAATGAATAATGAAATCCAAATACAATTGTGATTATAATTATTGTATAAATAATTATACTATAAATACCAGTAAAACGCGAATGCATTTTCATTTAAATCCATATTTTTGTTGTTAAATAAATATTTATATATCATTTTATATGAGTGTATATCTGTATTCATAATGTAATTAACTTATCAGGGTTTTAGTGGGTTTTGTTGTTTAATGAATTGTTGACCAAATTTAGCGATTCATTGAATTTCGCGGACAATTATTACCCGAAGTTTTTATCTGTTGATTGATATACACCTGTAAGTGATATATAAATGTTTACATGTCTTCACATTATTATTACAAATCATTTGTCAAATCAGAAACAAAATACCATTTCTTTTGTTATTTTCCCAAATCATTATAATTTATGTTAAGAATTGAATTTTTGAATATAATTAATAAAACAATAAAAACAATGATCAACTATTTATGAGACTTATCGTATTTATTATGGTCTCTCTCTCTCTCCCTCTCTCTCTCTCAAAATTTTCCAAATTAAGGTATAGTTTAAAAGTGTGAGCATAGGTATGTATGTATGTCTACGGCCATATCACTTGGAAAGCACCGGTACTCGTCAGATCAGCGAAGTGAAGCAGCCGAGAGCCCGGTTAGTACTTGGGAGGGAGACCACGTGGCAATACCGTGTCGAGTAGACTGTTTTTGGACGATTTTTATTTAATTTGTAATTTTAATCCGAATATGTATACATAAAGCATTACATTCTAGTTAGTTAATAAGACCCTGATAGTCGTTATCATAGTTAACGAAATAAAGTCAAATAGTTAAGAATATCGATAAGAGTGATGATTGCGACGATCCGTTGGCTCTTTACGGACACGTCCAACACAACCACATATGCACTGGTCTTAAGAATGCGCGAAATTGATCCCAATTTGCCATTCCTTTCAACTTTTGGGTAATCCTTAAGAAACATTTCTCGTATCGGACTCTTCATCGTAACCGTATGTCCAGACATTTTAGCCATAATATGCGCGACGGTTATCATTCCCAGCGGTAGGCCATCATCGCTGAGCACCGGGAGCTGATTGTAACCATGGCTTCGCATTATAGAGATGGCGTCGAAGCACGTGCTGTTGGGGCCGACGCTCACCACATCCATGTCCTTCACTAAGCTTTCGATGGATTCGTTCCAAAACCACGGCTTCCGGTCCTCTTCCTCCTGAGCATTAGTGGCGAAGTGACGCTCAGCCATCCAATTGTCGTCCATAAACTTTGTCATATAATTGCGAACTCCATCGGGAAGTACGACAACACAGCGCTGGTCCTCCCGGAGCTCTTTGGCCGCCTTCATAGCGGCCACGACTGCTGCGCCGGAAGAGCCGCCACACAGAAGGCCTTCCTTTGCGGTCAACTGTCGCGCCATTTCTAGCGACGACTTGTCCTCCGATTTATACCACTCGTCGACAACACTTCTGTCCAAAACCGTTGGCACGAAATCGGATCCAATGCCCTCCACTTCGTATGAAGTGATGTCGGATTTGTTGATAGCGTTGGGCTGTGCGAGTATCGACCCGTACGGGTCCACACCAACCACTTTGCAGTCGGGCAACACCTCCTTAAGCTTGCGTCCAATGCCGCTGATCGTACCGCCAGTTCCCGCGCACGCGACCACCACATCCACCTTATGGTCGCACTGTTGGATAATCTCTTGGGCGGTGGTTTCGTAATGAGCCAACGGGTTGTTGGCGTTCCCGTACTGATCCAAAATGACCGCATTCTTGGTCTGACGGCACAACTCGTGCGCCACTTGGATGTGACCGTCCGGCGAGTCGACGGACGCGGACGTCGGCGTCCGCACGACTCTCGCGCCCAAAGCGCGCAATACATACGCCTTCTCGTCGGACATCTTATCCGGCAGAACGGCTACACATTTGTATCCCTTGACGGCCGCCACCAACGCCAACCCAATACCCGTATTACCGCTCGTGGGCTCAATGATCGTCACTCCCTCTCTGAGTAGGCCGTCCCTCTCGGCCGCGCACACCATCTTCACGGCGATCCTGTCCTTAACGGATCCGCCGGCGTTCAAGTACTCGCATTTGGCCAACACTTCGCACTTCACACCATACTCTTTGGGGATCCGATTGAGTCGCACGAGTGGTGTGTCCCCGATCTGGTCCAATATGTTGGTCAGTATCTTGGGCTTGGGTTTGGGTGAGTCGTAATGGTGCGGGTCCTGAGGCACCGATGCCCTGTCCATAGACCACAAGCACTCGGATTTGTAAGTGTGGGCCACAAACGGTTTACTCATGTTTTGCAATAGATTTCAATGACAGACAGACTTAACCCGTTGGGGGAATTCGTGGTCAAAGACTCGTCTTAAGACACGGGATGTGAGTATATATCACAAATAATATCTCAGATTTGATATGAACTTAAACGGCGATAAAAATCACATTAATTTTGTGGATATACTGTAGATATACTGTAGTATATATTATAGATTTATGTCGTGAAACCAATCATTTGTGAAATATTCAATAAAAAAAGACAATTTATTTGAAATGAATTTTATTTTGAATTTATTATTCCTTAGACTGTCAGACAGTTAATGCATATTAAATGAAGATATTTTGAAAACATATTTATAAATAATATATTAAATTTTAAAATAACATGTTTACAAATAATATATTAAATGCTAAAATAACATATTAATAAAATGTGCACTTTAGAATTGTAATTATAACTTATCGTATCAATAAAAACAATATGTAATGTAATGATCGATCATTATGCTATTAGAAAAGTTTAAATTTAATGGATTTTCCTTTATAACATTTAAATTTTAATAAAAAAAACTAAGTAGCTTGTATTGCCTTATTTGAATAAATGAATTTATATTCTAGATAATTAATATCGCTTATCTTACGAGAGTTTTATAGTTTTTCAAAGACGCTATTAATAAGGGCTTATATAACCTTATTATTATATATAATGCAATCACATACGACCTTTAAGTGCAATTTGTATTTTCAATCATTTCTACCCCTTTTCCCCCATTTATCTGATATAATAATAAGTTATTGAAAACATCTCAAAGGCTCATATAATTGATGTAACAGTGCATGTACTGTATGACTGTTATTGTTTTAGAGTCTAGACTCTAGATAGTCTGGTCCATACACATGAATTTCCAATTTTATGTTACAAATCATTTTTATTAAAAATCTCTAACAATTTTTGTTCAAAACATATATTCATCGATTAAATTCAAAAATTGAAATATAAAATGATAAATTTAATAATTTTTGCAACACTTTTATGACGAGTGCATCCAATCCTTTGGATAAATATCATATAATGTTGATTTGTTTTGCCATAATATTATATACATACGGGTGTTCCTGTTATCAATAATCCAAATTAACTTTATATTTGGAGAGAGAGAGAGAGAGAGAGA